AATAAAAAAACTTAAGAGTATTAAAGTTGTGGATTAAAAAGAAGATGACAAGGTTTAGATGAAGAAAGTGAGACTATACAATTTTTTCAATCTTTTAACAGTTAATTGGCTATAACCCGATAGGTTAACAGTAGTTAGACATTCCTCTCTTACACACTATCCATGTCGCAAGAAACTTGTGTTTGATTCCTACCATGTACAAAAACTCGTCGGACTAACACCAGAGACAATATTGCAAAAATTTAATCTCTGACCTAGTGGACAAGGGAAAACTGGTAGTAAGACAAATATGAAACCCTCTATGCATTAGCAGTTTTTGATTCTAGTTCTTTGGTTTAAAAAAGAGTTTAAAAAATTATGGTTCTCGCAATTTAATAATATTGAAGATAACAATTCGTCTATTTGTTAATTGAAAATTCATCATAACATTTTTTGCAGAGAAAGTTACCAAATATTGTATATGAATATTTATATTGTCTTAAAAAAACAAAAGAAAGTATGTGTAAGGAGAGAAAGAAAATCTAATAACCGATATGAAAGAAAGAGAATATAGGAAAGACAATACCAGTATAAGTTGCAAAAAATCTTAATTGAATACTTGAATTTCATTATCTTTATGATAGATCCTAATAATATGAATACCATAAAACTTTTTTATATGACTTGACAGTGGTCACAAGAAAACACAACATGTTTATAAAAAAATATTTTAATTTATAATTCTAATCCAATAAAGTGTTTTCCAGATGAAGAACTCATCTCCATATTAGTGGCAACCAATTTTAATGTGGAATCAATTTGGTTCTCAAGCCAGTTTGGCATCAGATAAAAATAAAGGTAACTGATTAAAAGATTTCTTAAAATTTTCACCTTACTTTTACATCATACCAAACAGACACAGGTAAAAATATTTCTCAGGCTGAATAAAATAATGTCTGCAGACATGTTTATAAAGATAAAATTTGTTGTTGGTTGACAGTAACGCAAGAATTAGACTAACATATACGTAATCAAAAGTGAACAAACTTCTTGATGTTACCTTTAAAAGTTTAACACGGAAGATCTTACCTTCAATAAAAATTATATTAAAATTGCATGTATACATTAAAAAAGAAATTAACACAAGCAGCAAATTTGACTTTAAAATAACAATTAAATAAATCCTGATTCACTTATTTTTATTTTACTTGTTAAAACTAAATCCTGCTATATTGGATCTGTCTGTATAAGTTCTTTTTGAGATTTATTTTAATAAAATAATCACTTATTATAATTATAATATGTTTAGGTAAAATGAATAATTAATTTGGGCTAAAGTTTGTGATCCATGCCCCCATGTACATTAGAATGAGTTAAAACAAACTGATTATTTTACTAGGTTGAGTTTCTCTGTCCTAAGAAAAAAAGAAGATACAAACAGGAAGGTCTAAATCTAACAGTAATCAGGTGTCAATTACAGACAGAGCAACTTCAAACTTTCGGGATCACCATTTTTACAAGCATTTGAATTTGATTTCTAAATTTCTAATACAAAAGGATCTAACAAATCAAAACTTAACCGAAATATACTAATGAATGGACTCTCTAATAAATATTGAATTTTGTTTGACTTTTTAAGCTCAGGCTCAATTCTTAAACCTGGAAATGTAAAAATGTTTATCTAATATCATGTGATTGGTGTTTCAACTTGATTCTGGATGTCCAAAGTGAATTCAAATCAGTTTTTTTTGCTAATCAATTTATAATAATTTGTTCCAACATAAAGTAAGTTGGCACTGAACTGCAATGTGTGTTTCATCTTAGGCCTTACCAGGCACATCAATGGCTGCAGAATGATACTTGCGAAACTCTTCTCTTCCCTTGGCCGTGCGATTTCCAATAGAAACACCAAAATCGGAACCGCGCGGGTATCCTCCCACAAACGCTTCTGGAAACACCACAAGCTGGGACCCATGCCCTGCGGCTTCACCCAACAACCTCTCTGCCTTATCTGCACAAACATCACCAACCAATTTCATTTCCCCAGAACCAACAAATTAGATAACTTCTCCACCCAAAGGATCGTTGCATGGACCAATCTGGAGCACCCCAGATGGCGCTTTCAACACAGAAACACAAAAAGAAGAGGAATTTGACAAGAAACGGAAAAAGGGTAACGGACGAGAAGAGAAAGGTAGAAGGACCTAGAGTGGCTGGAGTGTCGTAGAAGATTGTGGAGGCTTGAACAACGGTGGCTCGGACAATGGGGGCGTTGAAATCTGAAGCCATGTCAACCTCGGCGAACAGAGGCCCCTCGTTGATGGTTGGGTCTGTTGTTACTAGTGCCATGTCTTTCACAACTTCACTCTCTTCTGATCCTCTCGCTTCTTGTTTCAAGCATCACAATCCATTATATGGAACTCAAATCATTTAAGAGTTTCTTTTTGTACAATTATTTAAGAAAGTTTAATATTTTCTGGCCTCGATCATTAATTCCACAAACCCAACATCAAATGGTGGCACACTTTACGCTATACTCAGTATTAATAATATCTAATGCTGTAATTTTAATATTTTTTATATCTAAATTTAATATTTTAATAATAATTTTATATCTTTACAAAGTTGATAAAAAATATAATTATATAATTTTGATTATTATTTATATGTATAAATTTAATATTTAAGGACTAATATGAAGAGAAAAAAATATTAAATTATTTCATATTTTAAAAAATTATTTGTTATTTTTTAATATTTAAGATAATATTAATTGTTTTTGAAAAATAATATATTTTACTTTATACATAATTTTTTATTAATTTTAGTACATATAAAAGAATATTAAGGAGGTAGGGAATGAAAAAACGGGTCAAATAGGTGGATTCATTAGTCTGTCTGTAATATGGTATGACGGGTTGGTGTCTTTAGTCTATCAGTCCACTCGACCCATCCCGTCAAGCTTTTCAACTCGTTGGACCAACCCGCCTAATTAATAAAAATCTAACTCTCACTCATAATAGGAAACATTCTCCTAACTCAAACACAAATTTCTCTCTCTTCTTCTCCTTGTTATTCATCATCTCCTTTTTATTCATTTTAATTGTTCTTATTATTGTGATTTGAATTAAAAGTATAAGAATTACTTAAAAGAAGAACAATGTGAAGTTTTATCAAATAAAAAAGTTATAGATATTTGAATTTTTCAATATAACAAATATAAATTTTACAAGTTTTGACGTTATTTATATATACTTGTTATTATTTATTATTATATAAATTTAATTATTGTTCTAAATTATAATTTCTTAAAACATTGTGTTGATTTATATTATTAACTTAAAATATATATGTTGAATTATTGACAAACAAATTATAATATTATTATTAAATTTATTAAAAAATTTATTTTAAAAAATTAAATTAATTTTTTTAAAATTATGACTGGATCAACATGCAAAATTACCTTTTGGTAGGACGGACTAAGATTTACAGATCAGTCATTATTATAGTGGGCCAGCCTGACCTACCCTATTTTTAGTTGGCCAAAACGGGACGGGCTGCCCATTTTGCCATCCTATAAGGAGAAAAGTTATAATGAAGAAATGACATGAAATTGAATCTAGAGTACCACTCATCCCATTGTTTTCTTCAAAAAATGAAAAAATAACAAAATTAGTCATAGATCATAAAGCTTTGAAATTTCGTAAATACCAACCACCTTAGCATGCAAATAGGACACCTTCAACCTAGTTAGAACTCCACCAAACCCATCACAAATACATTACCTATTACCTATGTTGCCACCATCACTGTAAATCTAAGCCACCAAAGTTGTTGGACTTCATAACTTTTTCTTCAAAATATCATAAGTAAATATATTTGATAAATCTTGATATTTGGATACAATTTATATATTGTTTTAGAAGATTTGATTTGTCGAATTAGATAAAATCAAATGTGATATTTGTAAATAATTCTACGGTAAGTTGTGAAGGGAAATATAATATTATAATTAGAAGAAGAGATGAAAAATATGTAATAATTTTATATGTATCCTATATTCCAGCTATAAAACACAATCTATTTAGTATCAATAAACTTCTTTAAGAAGAACACAAATGTTGAGAATCTTCGATAAAAATAGGACATTGATTCTTAAGGCTCCTTTAAGCAACAACAAGATTTTTAGAGTCGATATTTCAATATCGAATCATATGTGTTTTGCAGTTGTAATTTATGGTGTCAATTGGTTATAACATCTGAGGTATGATCATCTTAGTTTCGATAGTTTGAGTCAACTTGTGGAGCAAGAGATGGTGATAAGATTGCCTCGAGTATAGAAATGTAAAAATATTTGTGAAAGTTGCATGATAAGGAAACAAGTCAGAAATCCCTTCAAGGTACATATCGAGACTAGAAGTAAAGGAGCGTTGCAAGTCATATACACCGATGTGTGTAGATCCTTTGATATTTCCTTATTAGGTGAAAATAGGTACTTTTTGACGTTGGTTAATGATTTTAGGAAGAAAATGTGGATGTGTTTGCTCGAAAAGAAATTAGAGGTTTTTAATCATTTTGTTGATTTTAAAAGGTTGGTTAAGAAATAAAATGACAAAGTTATCAATGTTTTGAGATGAGATGGTGGTGGTGAGAAAAATAATGATAATTTTGCATCATTTTGTAAGGAGAAGGGTATTATGCTTGAGATTGTACCTTCATATACCCCACAACACAATGGTGTTGATGAAAGAAGAAATAGAACGATTTTGAACATGGTTAGAAGTATGTTGAAAACTAAAATATTGCCAATTTACATTTTAAATCGATGTCTAACTAAGAGAGTGACGAAGAAGACACTAGAAAAATTTTGGTTAGGGAGAAAGCCGAATATAAAATATTTGAAAGTATTTACCTTGATTGCTTGGAAGCATTTTCCTGATGAGAGGAGGAAAAAGCTCGATGATAGATGCCAATAATTAATTTTGGAAGGATATCATTCAAGTGGTGCTTATGATATCATGGAGGTGCAACTAGTGTTGTATCAGGCTCAAAAGTTTTTTCTTTGGGATCAAGAATTTTCGTTGAAGAAGAAACTGAAAATAGGAAGCATAGAAAGTATGAATCAACTAAAAGAAAGATGAGAGAGCATAATACCATGAAAGATACATACAAAAGAAAAATGATCTCCAAAAAGGTGTTTTTGTCACCATAAACACATATTGGATATGATTAAACCAAGATGGAAGGTCAAGTTTGGATAAATTAAGATATGGGAAATAAGATAACTTAGAGACAGTGACAAACTTATTTATTGGCTTAGGGTATAATGTTTCATGATCTGACCTTAAATCTCGTATCCATTTTGGATGTGTTAAAGACTTGAAATCACCAAGGGGGACATAAGGAAAAATAGGTGAGTCTTTGGGGTAGTTTTTTTCAAAAGTTATTTTTCTAAAGGATTTTGGACCCTTATGGAGTCTCGATTCTATTAAAATTTAGATTGAAGAGAGCAAACTACATTCCTAAAGGTCGATTCTAACTTAAAAAGAGTCATAAAATTGTTTATAAAATTGCTAGAACTTTATAATTTGGAGATAATATTCGTGTTTACCCTTTTGGCCTTTGACTTGTCCTACATTACAAAATCGTGATGATTATCTAGCCACAAATTTATTGCTTCAAATTTTGGGTGAGTTGAGGTGTACCATTGGTCCCACCAATAGAAAAATTGAAAAGTACACAAAAAATTTGACTCAATTAGAGTTGGGTGGAATTCGATTGGCTTTGAAGGAGTTAATCGAAGAAGCTCCTCTTTAATACTAGACTCGATGAAAGGAAAATTATGCGGGATGGCTCGATGGAATCGAGATGATAGAAAATTTTGGCTAAGTCTAAATTGACAAGAAAAATATTGTGGGATATACAAAAAAAATCTAATAGTTTTAAATTGAAAACTAGATACTAGAACATCTCATATGAGGAATCTGCTCCAAACTTCTATTAATCAGCTTGTAATTCTGGAGTAACAACTAGAAATTTATATCTTAACCACAGGCGACCTCGAATATTTTCATAGTTGTCACTGATGTTGCATAAGGGAGCAAGAAGGATATCAAAATCCTTTTTTGATAGTAGAAACCTCAACTAAGTCTTATATTGAGTTTCATTTGCCTTGAATAGTTGTGGATGTTGAGCGGCCAATCTAACACCCTATATAGGGAATGTGAGGACCGATGCCGAGGAGATAGAAGCAGGGGGGAATCAAAGACTCATAGATTGATACCAACCAAAGATGGATAAACCATAAGGGTCTAAGAGGTTATTGCCTGTTTGGTTCGATCTCAATGCATCTATGACTTCACAGAAGGCTGCATAAACATGAGCCAGAAGTAGCTTTGCCAAACAAATAGGAGGGGAGCCTTGGTGTAGTAAGTACACCAAGTTGAAATAATGGTGTGAAATTTGGATTAAAGGAGGACAAAAGACTTGTTTGCAGAGTCAATACACAAGGAATGCAACATGTTCTTCAATAGTCACCACAATATCAGGGTTGTCAATGAAATGCTCCTTGAAAAATTGGTCATAAGATTTTTAGTTCCGATGGATCTTTGCCTCAAGCTAATTGTCATTAGGGAAGGTTGTTATGAAGTATTTCTCGCCCACTGGTTTATGACCTATAATGACTACGATGTCAAGAAGAGTGGGGGCAATTGGGTCGCAAGGGAGCTCTATCACGTTAAGATTTTTGTTCCATAGTTGAACTAATGAGAGGAACATTGACATATCAAGATGTCCAATATCGTATCGGGATATATAAAACAAGTTATAAATCCTTATTTTCTTCCTGTGTCTCCAAACTTTGTCTTTACCCTGTCTAACCATTTGAGGTAGGAGGGTTTCTTCTGGACAAGTCCAGAACGATAAACTTTACAAGATACAAAATTGAAGTTTATTCTAAATTTTTCATCTTTTTATTGTAAGATGAATTTTTCTTATTCAGTAGAAGGGAACTCAACAGGCTCATCAAGGTTAGGAATGAGAGGGTCCCAAAAGAATAGGAAATACCCCTTATACAGAAAGGTATGAGTACCTATGTTGAACATATTTTCTTAGACTCTTATTCTAAGCCAAGAGCTGTGGCAAATGTCTTGCCATTGATTTCAATGAATGTAGAGGAAATAGTGGTAAGGCCAAACATTTAGGAAGTAGTAGAAGATGAAGTCATAGTAATCAAGATGTTAAATGGGAAATAAAAAATGTTTAAAAGGTTGTCATGTTAAGAAAGAGAAGAAGGAATGGAAGTTTGAAGGTCGTACTAAGACGAATGCAGGATGACAAAAAATGCAAGATGTTTAAGTTTAAAGAAGATAAATTCTTGAAAAACCTAGAAATACTAAAGTGGCTTTGGTTTTGGGTTGTATATTAACCTAGTTTTAACTCATTGATCAAACTTTAACCGATATATCCAATCAAGGGTGACCAAATGAATGATGATAGAGAAAGTAATATTTATTATACAACTTTTGAAAATTTTGAGATAAGTCATGTAATTGAAACATAGAAGACTAACATTGAAAAAAGTAAGACTCAAGAATAAGAGAAACGTCCATTCATTGGTATTTATGTTGCATTTTCTTAAAGGGCATTTTGTTGATGATAACTTCATAAATATATCAAAAAAATGAGTTAGAAGAAGATATTGAAGTTCGAGATAAGTTTCAATTGTTAAGATGGTAAAACACTACTTTAAGATGATGAAAGTGAAAAAAAATCCAGAAAGAGAAGGTTGAGACATCAAATGGTTTTTTACAAAAGAAATGAAGAGGTTCATAATAATCGAAAAAACTAAAAAATTAAAAGATGCATCTTATTGAAAGAGAAAATCAAGAAGAAGAAATAGTGGTTCATCGAAGACTTAGAGATGTTGAATAAAAGTTATGCAATCGATGGATATGCAAAATTGATTATGATCTCACTACTTGACATGAACGATTACAAATGTTACCCGACAATAATAAGGCTTGAAGGTTATAGGAAAAGTAATCATTTTATTTTATTTTATTTTTTCTAACAGTTACACAAAATAAAATATAAATAAGGTGAAATAAGTGTAATTAAGATAATTGTCAAATTGTATTAAGACTTGTATTTTGAAAAACACTATAAGTAAAGGAACAAACATTTTCAATGGAGTTGTAGATTACCATCTTTGTTAATTTCTTTTATCACTTTTTGTTTTATCCTTGTTAATGAGTTAAATTAAAAAAAAATTATTTTCATTGTACATTTATTTTTTTGCAATTTATTTTCTTTACATATTTACTTTTCTTGCACTTTACTTTAAATGTTGCAACTTATATTAAAAATTAAAATTATATATAGAAGATACTGATAAAAATTGATAGTGTATTAATTATTGAGTGATAAGTAATAATTAAGTAATTAGAAAAATTTTCTACATTAAAAAGTGATTTATGCTTTTAGTCTAATAAAAAAATCTATATAGTGAATAAAATAATTCAACGGCGAAAGTATTTGAACGTGAAAATTAATCGAACAACAGAATATATTACATTAAAAACAAATTTATACAAAGATATTTTGACTCCAACAAATTATCCCACAACTTGTTAAGTTTATTAAATAGAGAAAAAAAATGTTTATAACATATAGTCCATTTGTCTTGCAAGAAGTCCAAAAGAGTAAGGTCTCACCCTCTTCTTCAGTATCTTAACAGTTTGGTAAGTTATGAACAAAAATCTTTTATGAACTTTGGAAACATCCTACCTAGCTATCACTTCATTGATGGACTAGTTGGTGAAGCTAAAAATAGATTTCACACCCATTGGGATTGTTTGAGAACAAGATGGGTATAAATTTTGAGTCTATCATCTTAATATTTGTTTAGTGGAAGATTAAGTAGTTATGTACGAGAAGAATGAACGCAAAATGAAATTTCTTAGTAAAAGAAAGAACAAATAAAAAGGTAAATATAATAAATAGTAATCTAAATTGTTCAAAATTATATTTTAGATTTTTTATTTTATTTTTAAATAAAAAAACATTAAATTATTATTTAATTTAAATAATTATGATTAAGATATTATTAATATTTAATATTTTTTTATTCTATATATAGAATATACGAGTAAATATATAAAAAGAGATGAAAGATATACTAAAATGAAGTATAATTTTTTAGGTGAAACTATACCTTTTTAAAAGAGAAAGATATAAATATTAAAATAAAATAATTCTTTTAACAATATTAACATAACAAAAAAATTACAAAGTTCAAAAAATTACAATTTTTTAGGACATGTGAGAATAATATGTACATAATAAAAAAAATTTATTTGTTTTAGGATGACCATTACCACACATTCTTTTAAGAATATCCGTGACTGATATTTTATATATAAAAATCTTAAAAAATTTCATTAATATTTTCACAGCAAAATTCTCTTTTTTTTTCATCAATTTTTTCTTATTTGCATATCAGGAAACCCAATTAATTCGAATTAAATCAACCTGATATTAATAGAGAATAATATTTTAATTTGATTTACAGTTTACTCGTCATACCCACAGTATTTTGAAATTTTGAGTATATTTGAATTGCAAATTTTATTCTTATGAACTTTTTAGAATCTAATTGAAAAATATATAAAACCAATAAATAATATATATTTATATATATAAATTAAATATTTATACTTAATTATATCAAATTTTACATTCAAAAATAATATTTTTCAGTATTATTATTTTAGCTTTTTTCTTTTATCAAATGTGGGTTGGCCCATTAAGCTATGATGTAGGACCGCGGACTTACTAATTGCATATTCCTGCTGTTTCTAATATTTATTTGAAAAAAAAATGAGTTTCATAATCCGAAAGTATGTTATAAGTTATTTTGGATTAAAATCCTAAAAAAATGGATAAATGAATTAAAAAATATATAATTTTTTAAGTTCATAAAATTCATAATATAATTTTACCATTTTGAAAAAATTTATCCAAAAAATTTCTAAAAATGGTTTTTCATATATAATTTAAGTTCTATATTTATTATTATAAAATAATTCTGAAATGACCTTTCCAATAATATTTTGAAATGAATTTTTTTCAAAAACTTTATGAAAGAAATTATTAAAATATTTTTAAAAACTGATTATAAAAAACTCCTTTCAAACTTTTTTTAAGAGGAGTGAATTTGAAACTTATTTATATTAAGGATAATTTTTTTTATATGAATATAAAATATAGGAAGAAAATATGAGATTTCAGGAAGAAAAAACCTTACTAAAAATGATTTTTGTTTAAGGTTCTAATCCTTATTCTAAATTATACTTTAAGCTTTAAGCTTTAAAATTTATATTTTTATTAGTTTACATATTGTTATATTATTTTAATTTTGATCCAATTCTCAATTTTACATACATTCATCCGTTTATTTATTTATATTTTAATTTATTTTTGGATGATAGCTTAAATAAAAATATTATATCTAAAGTTCAAATAGACAAAAATAAAAATAAATAAAACCTACAATAATTTGAGCAAAAAATGTGGATTTTTTAAATTATTGAAACAAAAATCATAGAATATAGTGGACACAAAAATTATAATATAAGGAATTAGAGGAGACAAAAGTTACAATTTAGCCAAAATTAATCCAACTCCCCCTCCCAAAAAAAATAAAAATAATTCACACAATTAAGAAAGTCAGTAATTACCTTTTCGATTTCGAATATAAATAAATAAAGACTAAGCAAATACTAATTAAGAAAGTTAATTAGCATTGTTTACTTGTATAAATTCTAATTAAAAATAAGTAATTTTCTTAAAAAAATCGTATTGGAACCTGGTATTCAGAATAAAATCCGTATTAAGTGAAGGGTATTTTTATTAACGACTACATATTAAATAAGTTTAAAATAGTTGAGATTAGTTTATATTTGATAAGTATATAACATTTTTTTTTATATATTTGTGATTAGATACTGTTTAATTGCATTATAGTTTTACTTGAATACGCACATTTTTTTAAATTACAGTTTTTAAACATGATATCAAGTTTAAAAGAGAATTATTAGAGCAAATCTCAATTGAATGAATGAAGTTTTAGAGATAGTTTTGTCTTTCATATAATGAATTTTTAATTAAACCTGATTAGTTTAGAGTTTCTTTTTCATTTATATGACTTGAACCCATACGGTGTTATTTAAAAGACAAAGATAATCTTTGACACTTGATCGACCCTTATATCAGTTAATTGACGATAATATCGGTCCAAGATTTTGAGGACAAATTTAGTATTAAAAAAATAATCACATGAGAAATATAGTAATATGTCTATGTATCTTATAATCACACATTTGTCTACAGGGTTACGCCTATAAAAAAGAACCACGAAGATGCACACTAACATAGTAAGTCACAAAACATAACCTTCTCTCTTCAGCACTTTGAAATTGGAAATCATCAATACATATCCCTTATTTCTCCTCCATCCCAGAACTCAGCAATGGCTAGTGTCTCATTCGCCTCATCTGCCGCAAGAAGGTAACATGCAAGTTCCAACAACTCACCTCTTTTTTTTGTTTTTCTTACAAAAATATATATCATGTCACACTCTATATCGATACTTCTTCTGGATACATATATTAGTAATAAGCTGAAACTATACCTAAAAGATCACTGCACTTTGCACGGGTCTAAACTGCAACTAATTCCATCTTACTGTAATCTCTCAATTCTTTTTACACATATGTAAAGTGCAGCAATTAGTTTAAAACATTTATAACCAATTAAGATATCTAATGATATATTCAAAATCATGTAAAAGAACAAGTAACGTGATATATATGTGATGCTGAATTGATTTACAAGGCTTGAGGGGAAGGTGGCAATGATCACTGGAGGTGCAAGCGGCCTAGCACACGTAGTGATAACCGATGTTCAAGACGATTTGGGTCTCTCTGTTTGCAGAGAGTTAGAATCCGCTTCCTATGTCCACTGTGACGTCACAAACGAAAACGACGTTGAGAATGGCGTTAACACAGCTGTTTCCAAGTATGGGAAACTGGATATCATGGTTAACAACGCTGGCATAATTGATGACATGAAAAGAAGCATACTGGAGAACACGAAGTCGGAATTTGAGGCAGTGATGAAGGTGAACGTAGTTGGTGTTTTTCTTGGAACAAAGCACGCCGCAAGGGTGATGATTCCTGCAGGAAGAGGAAGCATAGTCAACACTGCTAGTGTTTGCGGAAGCATAGGTGGCGTGGCCTCGCACGCTTACACAAGTTCCAAACACGGCGTGGTGGGACTCACGAGAAACACTGCGGTGGAGCTTGGAGCATTCGGTGTGAGGGTGAATTGCGTGTCACCCTTCGTCGTTGCCACGCCCTTGGCTAAGAATGTTTTCAAGCTTGACGACGATGGAGTTCGCGGGTTGTATACAAACCTAAAGGGAGCTGTTCTTGACCCAAACGACGTCGCCGAAGCTGCTCTGTTCTTGGCAAGTGATGAATCCAAGTATGTCAGTGGCCACAATCTTGTCGTTGATGGAACCTTCACTGTCGTTAACAGAGGACTTTGCGTCTTTGGGCAATCTTCTTGAAATTTTCTTTCTACACCCTGTCATAATAACTTGTCTTATTTTGAATAATGGAAAAATTATTGTTCATGTTTTCAGTGTCTGCGTCAGGTTTGTATTGTCTTGTTTCAGCAGAAGCTAAGTCAATTAGCAATTATAATCTTCCACTTCATTATTTAAAATAAATATTAAAACAACTAGAAAAATTATGAAACTAAAGACTAAATATATTATATCGAAAAAAATGAATATCTAAATATAATTTATAATGATTAATTTTTTATTCTAAAAAATTTTTATTTTTTATTTTTATAAATTAAAAATTGAAGAAAATAATATTATTTTGTGTCGTATAGATTAAGAATCAAGATTTAATTCACCGATAAAAGCAGATACACATGTTCGTAATTACCAGCAAGACATTAAAAATACAGTGAATAATGAAGTGAGAAAGCTATTCAGTCTTAGTTGTCAATTTTAGTAACCAAAAGTCAACATTTATAATATAATAAATTTTATAATATTATTTTTAACTTATTTCAATAACATTTATTTATTAATTAATAATGTTAGATTGTTTTCAGCATTAAAAATATAATACAAATTAATTAAATTAACCAGAGACGAAAATAAATAAATAAAAAAATAATTAAAAACAAAGATAAAGAATATTTAAATATATGTCAATAATCACATTCTTCTATAAATTCTTTTTATATCACTAACTTTATTTAACAAATTTTTCAATATTCAACCCCAATTACTAACACAAAATAAAAAAGTACAAAAATTATATATATATATATATATATATATATATATATATATATATATATATATATACTTATCAATTTACATCTCCAAAATTTAAGAAATAAAGATCATTCATATTAATCTTATAAAATATTAGTTTTATTTACATTATTTAATAATTAATTAGTGATATCAAATTACCGAATCTAACAATGCTGATTATATTTGTAGCTTTCTGCATGATTTGAAATTATTATTCGTGTGATTTTAAAAATGTTTTGAAAAAACTTATATATATATATATATATATATATATATATATATATATATATATATATATGATTGAGATGGTGATGAAAAAAATATATAAATAATGTGATATTGGAAAATCATATGGTCATGTTCTAACTTCCAATACCTAATTATATTAAATTCAATAGATTATAATATTTATGAATTTTTTGAATAAAAATTTATTTTATATTTTAAAAGTTATATTCTAATCAAATAAAGATAATAAAAATTAAAATATTTTAGTCAATTGTTAAAAAAAAGTCTCTTACCTCTGTATTTTATTTATTATTTATTTTAAATTTTTACACTTTTTAATATTATTGTTATATATTGTTGTCATTATTTTTTATATTTGATTTTTTTTCAAGACATAATACTGTTTTCCTATAGCTTTTAAATTACAATAAAATATTTTTTTTATAAGTTAAAAATAATATTTTAAAGAATTTTTTTTCTAATGTCAATTTCTTATGTTTTTATTAATATTTATCAGATATTAGTGTAAAAAGAATCAAATTTTTTTGGTTTTCATAATGAAATGTGCTAATAACGGAAAATGACATTACAAAGACTAATTGACATGGTATATATACTAAATACCTAGAGCATTTTTTTTTTCACAATGAAATAAAGGAAAAGAAAAAATTAAAACAGAGTAAAATACAATAAGAAATGAAATTAGGTAAAATAATTTAACTATATTCTACCAGCAACTTCCCAAAATATTTTATAACAATATAGTTTTCATTGAGAGAGGATAAGTGAAAATGGAAAAGTAGTGTTTTTCTTTTTCTGAAAATAAAAATAAAAATAGTAGTTCAGATTGACTTTGGGTATAATTTGATTTATCCTTATATATTTTTTTAAACATAATCATATTTTAAAAAATACTTTTAATTTTTTTTCATATATTTTAAACATTACTTATATAAATTTAACTTTTTTTTCTTATTCCCATTTAAAAAAATATTTATTTTTTAAACATATTTTTAAGAAGTTGTGATCGTTTTTTATATGATTTTTAAACCCTTACTATTCTAAACTTATATATATATATATATATATATATATATATATATATATATATATATATAAGAGAGAGAGATAAAAGCGAAAGAGATGAAGAAATACAAAAATATTATTACAAAATTATTAAAGAAAGCTTACAATATTCAAGATATTCAAGGATAAGGGAAAACTTGAAACTTAGGCTATGAAGGGGTTTAGCTGAGGAAGGTAGAGTTTAAGGTTTGAGAAGAGCTGTAAATGTTACTTCAACAACTAAATCTTTTATAGCCATAAGTGTTCCACTATTTAGGATTACAAGTGACACACTTTAGACAAGAGTGACCGACAAAGAAAATAATTACAATTGACATGCCTTTACTTTCGGCGGCCGACGCTAAAAACCAAAATAGAATAATTACAAGTAATTTGTTTTTTAACTAGGTGGGACCCAAACATCTTTTGGCCGAAGGACCAAATAAGTCCAAATGCTTACTTGGATACTCTATTATGAGGTGTGGGACCATATTTTGGGGTATGAGACCATAGCATCTGTTGGGCGATGGACCAAATAAGTCCAGCTTCTTACTAAGACGTTGTTTAGAAGGTGAGTTCTTGAAGATCTTCTTTTTCTAATTTCTTCATGATTTGATTAATCTTTCTTTGTAACTTTTCTTTGGTTGATGTTCTTTGCATAATAGCAATCATCTTCTTCTTTAATTCTTCTGGAATTGATTGCTAAAATTGAGCAAAGTCAATATCTTATTCATTTTCGTAAGGATCTTGTAGGTTGATAATGACTTCAATTTCTTCTTCTTCTTCTTCATCTGAGCCTAGTGAGGACAATACTTTGAGCATTTTCTGTTTTAATTTGGGATTTTCTTCTTTGCAGGAAGTTTGGATCAATCTATAATGATTTTTCTTTTATGGATTAAATTTCTTTTTGGATTGAGTTTTTTTGTGTAATAAAGCCCATTTTCTTCCAATTTTCAAAATTTTCTTCTACGTAATAAGTTTCAAATTTTTTTCACCAAAAAACCTTAGTTTTTAAACAGAGAGTTTTCGGGTAGGTTTCTTCTTTGTGTTAATGAATTTCAGGAATGTAGGTCAAAAGCCAGCTTATTCCCACAGTAGAGCAAAATTTTATGATTCTTAGGTGTGAAGGGTAATGGGGAGTAAAACTTTTATATTTTTGGTATATTTTCATAATTTTTTTCTGGAATTATGGATTAGACTGGGCCTATTTGGTGAAACTAATCGACGAATCAGTTTGGTAGGTTGTTGGGTACTTCTTTTTTAAAATAGATATACCATGAATGCCTAGGGTTTGTATAAAATAATATTTTATTCTAGGCTTCTTGGTAATCAAAATAATTATAAGAAGGGGGGTCAAAGGGTCTCGAAAAACTTTTATCAGTGAAAGGGTGTTGGTTCCAGTCTTGGTATGAAAGGATTTTAATAATTCGTAATTTTGAATAACTAATAATAGAGGAATCTCTATCATTAGGAATGAGGGTTATTTCGGCAGATCCAGTGTCTATTAGAATAAATTGATAAAACTTTTTATTCTTTTTTAAAATTTCTGACTTAGGAATCCAACTCCATCCTGGCGGAGCTAGTTTCCTGAGTATTTCATAAACATCTTTGGGATTTCAGTATTCTTCTAAAGTGATAATCTTTGACATCCTTCTTTGATATGAAATTCCTTTTTAGGAGGTTTTTAAAGGGGAGGATTTTGATGGATTTGTGGTGTTAGAGGGATGAATCTATTAGGTTAAGTGGTTATTGAGGTGAGAAGTTTTCAAGTGGTCATGGTCTTTGAATATGATGGGGCAAAGTATCTAAGGACAAGGTAGAGGATTTTGAGCCTTTTTCTATTTTACTTTTTTCAGCCGAGGTTGGGCTTTTAGAGGGGGTTGTCATGGGTGTGGCCCTGCAAAAATTCTCTTGTTAGGAAATCAGGTATAAAATTTTCTTTTCCTTTTATAAATTCTATTTCAAATTCAAAACAGGATAATAGACTTTGTCATCTTACAAATATTTGTTTGGAAATTATGTTTTTTACATCCTTTTCCAAAACTTATTTTGCAGATTTATAATCAATTCTTAATAAAAAAAATTTGTTTATTAAATCATATTGAAATTTTTGTATGTTTAACACTATACTTAAAACTTCTTTTTTAATCGTGTTGGTAATTCTTTTGAGCATCATTTCATATTCTTGAGTGATATTTTACTATTTGTTCGGGGTTATTTTTTAACTTTTGTTTTAGTATACCTCCATATCCTACATCAGAAGCATCTGTTTCTATAATTATCTTGGCTTCTGGGTTTGGTATTCCTAGACATGGTAAGGTTTTAACGAATCTTTTAACCTCTATTACTATTTTAGTCATTTCTGGAGCCCATGGTTTAGTATTTTTTTTTTTAGTCTATTGAAGAGGAGTTTACATAATATTCTGATGTTAGGAATAAATTCTGATACATAATTTAGACATCCTAAAAATCTTTATAATTGAAGTTTATCTTTTATTTCATTAGGAAATTTTTCTGAAAATTCAATACTTCTTTTAATGGGGGTTATAGTTCCTTGATTTATTTCATGTCCTAAAAATCTTATTTGTGTTTGGGCTAGTTTTATTTTGTGATATTACCATTCCATTTGTTTTTATGGCATTTTTAAATATTCTTAAATATTTTTTATGTTGTTCGATTGATTCAGAAAATATTAATACATCATCAATATATACAATGACGAATTTTGAGTAAGGATTTAATATATCATTGATTATTTTTTTAATTTCAGAAGGCGCATTTTTTAAACCCATGGGCATTACGTTCCACTCATACTGCCCAAAGAGTACTATAAAGACAATTTTATATTTGTTTTGTTCCTTTAATTTAATTTGATAGTATCCGCTTTTCATGTCAAATTTGGAAAATATAGTAGCATTATAAATTCTACTTATTAG